TCCTGTCCTTCCTAAAGAGCCTGTATCCTCCCATTCCAACACTCCCGTCCCAGAAGCCATCCCACCATGTCTCCATGATGCCAGTGAGATCATAGCCCTGCAGGCATGCGCTCTTTGCTTCATTAATCTCAATCATGCCTGCCTGGTGTAATGGATCAGGGTTTTGTGGAAAACCAATGCTGGAATTGATCCTGTGAATGTTGCAGCAGCTCTGTGGGCCCACAGAATTACATAAATTATCACACATCCTAGCCTGAAATAATTATCACAGCTGTCTGAGCAGCCTTTTAGGAGAGATTTAATTAGCTTCACCTTTGATAATGAATAGGGAGCTGAGATGGAAGGAAGCAGCTGTCAGCACACCATTTGTCTTTTTCCAGTGCTGAAAAAGGTGTCAGCAGCAGGATCCCAGTTCTGCTGCTCTGTGATGGCAGATCCGGTGTGCTCCTTCTTAGGATTACACTGATAACACTTTCCAGGAGCATTATATTTTTAAAGGTTGAGGCTGTTTGTGAAACTGCACCCCAAACACCTTTCAGTCTATAGAGCTTCTTGAGCAGGTTTGTCAGCTACAGATTTGCCAAGGAACTGTTGCCATTCTTAAAGCAGAAAAAGTTTGTGTGTTCTTCTTTCAGCAGGCATTAGCAGATGCTGAATTCAGAGTGTAACACATCTTCAGCCTGTCCAGGYTGAAGGTATGTGGGGCACCATCTCCAGCACCAAAGCTCACCATCCTGAGAATATGAGAACAGCACTATAGTTAGGAAAAAAGCTTTGAGAAACTCCAGAGGGTTTAAATGTAGATCATTTGGGGAGAAGGTTATTTGGGCAATGTATGCAAAGAAGAGAACATTGCAATAACTGAGTCAGAAGTTTTCTGACCACTCCTGTGCACTTTCTCTTGCTTGCTATGACCAAGCTGTGGGGAAAGGTCCTTGGTTTGGCTGCAGTAGGTTACAGAAAAACAGATTTGTCTGTGATGGTTTTTCAAGCATTTATTTTTTTCATTCCTGGGATGTATTGGGATGCTGCTTAAAACCCTGGAAAGCTATAAAGTAAACTTGCCAACAAAACAGGAAGTTTTTTGCTAGACTGGAAACATTAATCCTTTCCCATTAATCCTTTCCCATTAATCCTTTCCCTACCCTTAAGAACATGTATGAGTTTTATAGAATAATGTGGAGAGGTGACCTGGAGCCGTAGTGTAGCAAGAGATGCTTTTGCTGGGCTTGAGACCCACCAGTTTTCAACCATCTCGCCCCAGGGCRTTCACATTTTTGACAGATACCATCAGCTCAAGGGGCAAAAGCTGCCTATTCTCCCCTGCCCCAGCTGTGCCTTTGGCTGGTAATTGAGGAACTTTGGAGAGAGGCAAGAGACAGAGGTTTGAACTTTTCCAGACTGGAAAAATTGACTTGTCTCATTTGCCAGGTGAGTGCTGTAACCAGCAGGCTGATTTCCTCAGAGGCCTTCTTGTGGGATTTACCTGCACTGATGAGCCTGTACTCTGGCACTTGGCCAGGCTGCATCCATGCTGTTGGACTCTCTGCAGCTGCAGAACAAGGGGACTGTGTGCAGCTGCCTCCTGGSAATGGTCTCTGTCCTGTGCCAGCTTCGAGTTGTGCAGGAGACTTTTTTGGAGGAGGGCTAATCTCTCCCAGACCAAAGCCATGCCAGTGGTTCTTCTAGCATTTAAACAATACAGACTGTCACATTCCAGTGTCCAGACATATTTCCTGGCCCTGGTTAAAATACCACTGTGAATTTATCTGTRATGGATTGTAGGGGAAAGCTGAAGCAGAAGCAGAAGATCCCTCCTTCACAGACCCCAGTGCCTGGCATTCCTGGGGTTAAGTCCAATCTGTATCTTTTTCCTGGGCCTTGCTGGACATCACACTGTCTGCTGACCATAGCAGGAGTGATGGGCAGCAGATACTTTGAAGTCTCCTGCCTAATTTTGGGCACAAGTCTTTTCTCAAGTTGTAGATGTGATACTRCACCATTCCCTGAGGCTTCACTAAGGTATCTCATGTACTTGGAATTAACACCAGACAAAATAGAGATAATAAGATAGGGAAAGATGAAAGTCTGTTCTGCAAGAGCTGCAGTTAGTWGTGCAACTGAGCTTCAAGCATGAGCCTTTTGGATACTTTAACAAATTACAGCAGTCTTTGTCTCTTGCTTTCATTACAGATTCTCCTCATTAAAGCATTCCCAGCAAACCGATGTCCCTGTCCCCATCGTGTTGTACATGCAAATAGYCATTCCTGTCCCAAAGATCTGGTCCAGAGAGATTGGACAAAGTTCAGAGAAGTGGCATCTAAAATGTTGATGTTCTTGTGGCAGCTGCCTCTGTCTCCAAGTCAGAACTCGTTTACTGTCTGGAAGTCCACATGCCAGCAGTCATGAAGGGCTTTGTGACAGCCTTTCTTCAGTAAGGGCTTTGATTGCTTTCTCTGTCAGAGAGTATTTCCACCAATAGAGKCTGTGAATCAGCACAACAATGTGGCAGGAATTTTAAACAATGTGGCGCTGCTTTTCTTTTACAGAAAAAGAAGAGMCTAATTAAAGAATGATTAATTACATGGATTCTGTGCCTGATTGTCTATAAAAAGATGGGGTAGGAAGGTTCCTTTAATCTTGTTTCAGAATAGTTGCTTGATTTTTTTCTTCCTCCTCCTGGCCTGGAGTTAAATATGGCGGTRGTTATGCACTGTAACAATTCATTTGCTTTCAAGAAATAGAAGTCCTTGTTTCTATCTCTGCCTGAGGCATTTTGCATTTTACCTCTTTGGTTTTGCAAAGATGGTTGTGTCTCACATGATCAAACAGCAGTGGATCAAACAGCTTGCCTAGCACTGCAGCACTGAAAAGCAGGTTTTGAGACAAAGACCACATATTATCTGTTGTGTTTTCTCTAAGAGACTTCTGTCTAACCAAGGTCTTGAAAAAATCCAGGACAGAAAAAGGAAATTACATCATCAGCTTCCAGACTTTCTCCTGCAGAATCTTTGGCTTAAAAGCAGAATGCCAAAACCCCCATGCCCTAAAGACCCCCACACACTACTAGATTGGATCTTTTGGGGGTATTTTTTTGGCTGTGCTCAGTGGTTTTGTTGYTATGATTAGCACAGAAACAAGTAGAGAATTCAAGAATTTGTACCATCATATGCAGTTATTGAGCTGGATTTACTGCTGCCCTTTCTGGGTGGTGCACCTAGTTTAAAATCATGTTTCCTYCATGTGATCTCTATGACTATTGTGTATTGTTCCTCTGGTTATTATGTTTTCTGTTATTTAAGAACCAAAACCTTATGACATGGAYACTGATTCATTCAGTAGTTGTTTATGCCAAGGAGGGAGGCTTCAGAAATACCAGCCCTAACAAGTTTTGTTTATTAATCAGCAAAGAGAACAAGAACATGTCTTGGCAATGTGATCACAGGTGTCATATCTCTTGGATATCAGAGCTCTCAACAAACAGAAAGGCCTGGGCTTAAATGAAATTAATTTATTTGTAAATGAGGAATTCAGAAATACATTGAGTGTGTTTTGTAAGTTWAGTAGGATATGTCACCCACAAGGAATCATGGAAAATAAAAGACATCAGAAATCTTATATAAATAAAAGAGAATTTAATCTCTAGAATTACTTAGAGGATGAAATTTGAGGCGCTGCCTGCTGGAATATCACAGGTGGRGTTCAAGGTGCAGAACTCTGGGGCAGTGAATGGCTCTGTCCATCATTTGGTCTGTTCAGGTGTTTCCTAGTTTCAGATATCAGTGTTCATGCTATTGATTTTACGAGAGTACCCTTGATTAAAAGTGATTCCTTTTAGATTCCCTTTGGGAGTCACAAAAAGATCTGTGTTACTTCAGGAATAGTTTTACCTTAAAGGGTTATGACCATCTGTACAGTGGATAATTTAGGCTTATCCTTGTTGAGTTCATGGCTGGTTCATGGTGGATGTAGTTTGTCTCAGCCTGAGCAGTACAGTTTAAATTCCTCACAGCTTTTAATGAGGGTGAACTCAGAAAAGAAACCTTTGAAATCATGCAGTTTATCTTAGTSAGGGGCTGTAGCTCTTGAAGTACCTATGGTTTTAACATTCAAACCACATTCACTGGGGAYGAAGGAGTAAATTGTCTCAGAGAGGTTGGTTCTTCAGTTAATCATGTTCCCTGTGGTCCTGGGCAATTGCCTGATCAGTTGCTTCCCAAATGATAGCAAAGCTCAGCTTTACTTTAACTGTCTGTGGAAAGCCCTACCAATTGTACTGCCAGGTTGTAGAGGCATTTACAGTATCTCTCCTAGGGCTACTGGTGAACAGAGAGAAAGGAGGAATCACTGTMTCATTTAGGAAACAGAAGTTATCCCAGTGGTTTCACAGGAGTCTGGGTAAATCCCTAAAGATGCTTCATTGCCTGGCAGTGAGGAAGTTATAAATGGGATATTAGGAAAGGGCTTTTCACCCAGAGAGTGGGTGGGCACTAGAACAGCTCCCCAGAGAAGTGGTCACAGCACCAGGCTGAGAGAGTTCAAGAAGCATTTGGACAATGCTCTCAGGCACATGGTGTGATTCTTGGGGTGTCCTGTGCAAGGCCAGGAGTTGGACTGGATGATCCTGATGTGTCCCTTCCAACTCAGGATATTCTGTGATCCCCTGATTCTAATGACTAAAGGGAAAGGAGTGACAGAACCAAAAAATACATGACATGAAATGACTCATTTGTGAGTGACTACTATGGGGCATGTAGGAGGAGAAAATAAAAAGGCACCTTAGACTTTTATACATTACCCTGTTCCAGTGAGTGGAGCAGCTGGAGGGACTTCTTCTTTTTCTTTCCTCCACATTTTGACTTTCCAAAGGCCAACAGCTCTTGGAGTCACAAGACAATCTGTTATAAAGACAGTGTTAAAATCTTTACAGTGCATGTGGAAACAGAGTTAGGCACACACAACCTGCTGTGTCTCTGATAAGGTCAAATAATGCAGGTAGAAATTACCCTGAACTGTTTGAGGTGTTCTGGGTTATTTCACTAGGAATTAGAGGAAAACTGTCACCAAAAGGAGTTGTTGTGTATGGTCTTAGGTTGCAAAAACTTCTTCAGTTTCCCAGAACCAAATGTGAACAGAGAATTTTAAAATCCATTAGTGTTTCTTGTTTCTCATCATTGAGTGTGGGGATGCTCAGTCTCAGTTTTGGGTGACAGGAATGAAGAGGGAACAGTGCTGAATGTGGAAAATTTTACTTTCCCATGAAAATTTATGGGGAAGTAAATCATGCTGTCACAAATCAAAAACATCTGTTTCCCAAAATAAAATAAAGTTCCTTTTTTCTAATAATTGCAAATTGCCTTTAATTTAGACATTTGAAAACATACTGTAGAATTAATTAACTTGTACAGTGAACTGAAAAAMCACATTATAAGAAAGATGGTTCTGACAGAAACTTCTATGGAGAGAGAAATATATCAGAGGAGATCCTTTCCTGCAGAAAATTTTGTTTTGAAAGGTTGCATTTTCTTACAAAACAGAAAGCAGTTCAGAAATTCCCAAGATGCTACTGATGTTTTCTTTTCATTCCAGAGTTGAAGATGATTTTGAGAAACTCTTGGAAGTTACCTCTAAACCAAAACCTAAGGTTCCACCAAAACCACCACTGCCTCAGAAGCCAGCAGTTGCCCCCAGGAGCACTAATTCACCTTCACTGGCAAAGCAAAAGGAAAACAAGATTCAGACAATGAATGAAGTGGACATTCTGCAGTATATCCAGGAAAATGAATCTATCAACAACCAGGATACCAGTCTTTTTTGAACATATGTATTTTTAAAATGTGGTGATGCCTTCTTGGCCCCAAYTCCCAGTGAGCTCCAGTGACAGCAGCAAGAATTGACCAGGTGTTTTTACTGTCACAGTGCTCATTTCTGTACCAGGATAGAGAGAGCAGCAAGTTTGAGTAGCTGAACCTCCATCTGAGATTTTCAGAGCAGTGCAGCAGTGATGTAATTTTGCCTTAGATTTTTAGGGTTTTACAGGGAATGTTGACAAGGATGCAGGACTGCAGATTGTTTACTGCAATTTTAGTATCAACGTAGTACAGTTTTGGCCAGTTGATTGAAAATGTTGTGTGCATGATGACTGTGAATAATGTCCAACAAATGGTGTGAGGCAAGATAGGATGCTGTTCCTGTMATTTTTAAATAGTGCATTTCAGCTCACTGGAAGGGCTATTTTGCTTTTATCCAGTGCATTTTTGTAGCAGCCTTTTCCTCCCTGACTGGTATTTTGGTAATTTTTAACAGGAACTGCTAAATATAGTTAACAGTTCCTCTGTATTTCAGTGGAACACTGAAATCCCAACTAAGYCTGACAATCTGCTGCCTTAATTGCTGCACAAATGCCAACTTGTAAGAGAACTTCAGGCCTGCAAAGACCACACTWTGCCTCTCTGACTCCTGGGGAACATAGCAAATGACTGAGGGTGGCYGAGAACATTCTCCAGACATAGATGGAGGTTGCAGTACATGGGAGGTTTGGGTGCTGTARGTCTCCTGTGAGCTCCAGATTCACAAGGGCTAATTTTTTCCAGYCAAGTCTTCCTGAGCTTCCACTGTAATTAGTGGAGAGAGATTTTTCCAGGAGTTGATTCAGTGCAGGTGTGTTAATGGAGGAGCTCTGAATTGCTCTCTGGAGTCAAYTCTTTCTCTCTTGTTCCTTCACTTATCCCAGAACTTTAAAAACCAGCCATAGTGGTTAATTCCACTAAGCTAAAACGAGTTTTTGTGATAAGACAGTGGTCTGTTTTTCACCATGCAGTGGTTAAAACARGAGAGGACAAACTTGGCATTATCTAGAGGGGAAAAAATAGGAAAAAAAATATCCTGGAGAATTTTTAATATGCAGGAAAAGAAAAGCATGATAGAATAGGCATCCAAGACTTTCCCTCTTCTTGTCCGACTTAGGCACTCTGGTCGAAGATACTGAATGTACAACTGATGTGGGTTGATACCTGCTGTCATACAGAAGGAGATTGCTGAACTCATTCCATGTGTGATCTAGCCAGAGATGAAGACAAGCTTCCAAGARGGAAAATTTTAATATATTTAAGCCATATTATTATCCCAATATTTGCCTTTCTAATATAGAATAAAATTAATAGAAAGCATTATATATTTTTAATAATGAAATTATTTCTATTAGCATTTCTTTTTTAAGCCAATGGAAAATATTATAAAGGTATTTTGCTTTGATGGGACAGGTAAAATATAACCATTGGTTGTCCTTTGTGTATGGTATGTTTTACTGTAATAAAACATTTTGCTAATGTGCAGGTGTTACTGTTGTTGTTCTCCAGGTTGTACAGTAGCAGCAAAGAATGGATTCTGTTTAGCTCATGAGGAGTGTTGCATGGTGTGAAAGTGTAAATAGATATGAAAACAAAAATGTAGCTGCACTCATTTCCTTTGAGGGCAGCTGAAGGTAGATCCAAAGGAACTGCCTGGTCCTGTCTGTTCCCACAGTGCTCTGGTGCAATTTGGAGTCTTGTTTATCCCTGCAAAAGGGGAATAAAAGCAGTGAGGAGAAAATAAATACYTTGCCCAAGAACAGGCAGGAAATAGCAAGCAGGATAAATTAATTCAGGGCAGCCTTCCTGTTGCACTCCCTGCTGTCATGAACAAGCACTGTRTATTTAACTGAGGGCTCAGGGAGCATCATCCCCATTTTACTCAGCACTGTTTGGGGACACGGTTCACATTTCTGTGTTTTTGGACTACAGCCCATCACATAGCCTGAACAGTGCTAAAACTTCCAATCTGCAGGCCATGGATTTAATGATCAGTAGACTGAGTGCAGTTCTTCACCCTCCTTGAATGGGCAAGGAAGATTTTGCCCCACAGCTTTCCCTAAAACTGTCAAGTTACAAAAGCACAGGGAAGGAAGAMGTGTTAATTGTTTCCTGTGCTAGATTTTTAAGATTATATTGAGATTCCTGCTTTACTTCAGAAAAAAACCAAAAAACAAACAAAAAAAACCACCCTAGCATTCCTGTCAACGTACTAATATAAAAGGATCCTTCATAAACCCTGATGTTATGCATTTGTTTTACAATGCAAATGTCTAATTGCAGTCGTATTTTTGGCCACTAAGAGGTGTGTTACAATCCTTGAATACATTATATATAATGAATCATAATTRTACAAGTGAAGCATGTCAGGAAAATGTAGCCCAGAAAAATTGAACATACTATTAGAAATGACATGGGGAAACTATACAACATACTTTGCATCCTGCCAGAAGAAAACTTTTTTTTCTTTCTTTCTTTCATGTATCACTTCTAATAGCAGCTATTTGAATAGCCTGCTCCTGACAACTCTTGAAATTCAATTATGGACTCTAATGTAGTTCTTGGCTGACAGTCATCACCTTCCAACATTAAAAATAGAGTTCATCAAAAGATTTGAAAAGAGTTATATTTAAACCCTTAAAAAAGKTTGGGAGGTTAGTGATTAGAACTTGTAATAAGTATTTCTATTGCTTTACAAGCAGCTTCTTGTTTTGCATAACATTCTGCTTGCTCTGTAGTACAGCACTAATTGACAACTAACATTGTGTACTTGATTATTTGGGTCAGTTAAATTATTTCACCAAGCTGAGTATTTCACAGAGGAGTTGTGGGTCGTCTGCTCAGGTTTGTTCAGTTGCTGAATTTTTAGGAAAGCTAATTCCCACATAGCACTTAAGGCCTAGTTCTGTCAGTTACAATTTAGGTTGAATYTAAAGAAATATATTAATTGAAACTGATATTTCTGCTAATTTTTGCCCAGATGTTAGCTTCTGCAAAGAAGCTGAGCTGGCTTCAGCTGAATGCACAAATCAACCTCTGATTTAAGGTCATGAAAATCCAGCACGCTCATGGGGCACTAAGGCATTACATACTGTAAATGAACAATCCCTGAGGTTGTTAGATTTAATAYAGAGTACCAGGAAGCACTGATGTTTCACTTAAAATTGTGACTGTCACTAATTCACCAAGGATGCTTGAATGTCTGTGTGTGCATGCATCAACCATATTTCATCTCAATTGATGTGATCACATTTGTGACAGTTTAAACCTCTGTAGGTCAAAAAGAGAAGGCTTTTACTGTGAAATTTTATCTGTATTCTTACTTCTTATATCTTTATTCTTAATTTTCATCTCAACATCAGCAACAAGACTAAATTAAATCACTCGCTTTCTATATTGTGCCCATTCCTTCCTTGATCTTTAAAGCCTCCTGATCCAAATTTTTTTCAGCCCTCACCATATCACTGATCTTTTTTTATAGCCTTTCACATATTTCTATTTCATGTCATGCGTTGAACGTAATGAAGAATTCAAGTGATGGAAAAATCATGTGCACTGCTTTGAGTAAAAATACTAGCAGTGAGAGGTGGTAAATTAAATTAATTGTCAAATTAAGTGCTGCTGTGAGAGTTCAGAAGCCAATGAAGCTGCTTAAAGGATTGATTAGTTCTAGATATTTAGGGACTAAGTTTTATTCATACCAAGATGTTATGGAGGGGAGGGGAGGGGAGGGGAGGTTGCGTTGAGACCTCATAGCAACCTTCCAGTATCTGAAGGGGGGCTAGAGGGAAGATGGAAAGGGAATCTTCTTCAGGAATGTAGTGATAGGACAAGGGGAAGTGGCTTCAAAGTAGAGACAGGGTTAGATTAGATGTTAGGAAGAAATATTTTACTGTGAGAGGCTCAGATCCTGGCATAGGTTGCTCAGAGAGGCTGGGATGCCCCATCCCTGGAAGTGTTCAAGGCCAGGTTGGATGGAACTCTGAGCAATCTGGTCCAGTGGAAGGTGTCCCTGCCCATGGCAGGGGAGCTGGAACTAKGAGATCATTAAGTTTCTTTTAAACTCAAACAATTTTATGATTCTATGTTTCTGTGATCCCACCCTGCATGGGAAGGTTGGTGGATACTACAGTTTGCTTAGAATGTCAAATACAGATTTACCAAGGGTAACCTGGCAACAAATGACCATCATCACAGCACCCTCAAACTGCAGTAGAATGCCCCCTAAACAGAGCATCTGTTGTGATATTATGTTATGATCCTCTGCACTGACGTGCTCAGGAGCCTCAGAGTTTGAAGTCATCACTCTTGGTAAAAGAGATGCAAACCAGTCTCTCCTTAAATACTCATTAAATACTCTCAGAATGCAATTTAGCTGYTTTCTGCCAAAGGCAATGTTTCTGTGCCATTGATGTCATCGAAAGGTTGCTTCCTGTGACTGCTGTGAGGGTCATGCTCTCAATCTAAGCTGTCAAAATCTTGTGGAGATCAGTGGGAGCCTGGTCATGCTGATGCTGGAGAGAGGAGGTGAAGGAATAGGATGTGACACCACTGACAAGCCTGAAGGGCTTGGAGAGCACCACTGAGAAACAGGAGAGACAGGACAGAATGAAGGAAGGCATCTGCCTGATTTATACACACAGCTCCAGAGCTGTTCAATTCCCCTGAAATATCMCAGCTGTAGGGCTGAAATCAGCAATTCATTTAGTGGTTCTTTGGTGAGAGGAGCTCCGTGGTTTTTCAAATGAACATAAAAGCCAAGAAAACTAAACTATAAAATTCCTGAGGTAATTACTGAGCACTTTACTTACTTCTCTGCTAATCTATCTGCTTTTTAAGTTTGCCCAGAGATTTTGTCTAATGATCACAAACTTCTCGGATTTTTTTTTTCCAATAATGATTTAATGATGCTGATTTTTACTTCAGAAGAGCTTATAGAAATAGTCCATTTGGTAATGTCTGGGTATGTTAACAAGTTTGTACTGTGAGTAAAAACAATCATTTACCTTGAATGCTGAGAATCCAAACTACCTAGTGCTTCCCTCCCATCTTAAGCAATCAAATCTGCAGGCTACTAGGATTTCTTTTCTCACTCATGCCTTTTCCTGTCTCAGCCTTTCATAGCTTACATATTTAATCTTGTGTACAGTCCCCAAAAGGAATTTTTTATGTCCAGAACTAAAAAAAAAATAAAAAAAAAAAGATAAAAAAAAAAAAAAAAAAAAAACAAAAAAAAAAAAAAACAAAAAAAAAACAAAAAAAACCCAAAAAACAAAAAAMAAAAAAAAAAACCMAAAAAARAMTWATTT